GTTGGCTTTGAATAAACGTCTGTCTGGATGAAACCCCCGATGAGATGTAAAGTTAAATCTAGCACGTGAAGCTCGCGTTCAGAAAAAACTAATTCAAATCTAATGGTAGGATATAGGGAATTTATAAAGTCAGTAAACTCATGCAGTATATATATATATATATATATATATACTGGCTTCTTTCATATACAGTATATGTATATGTATAGTATATATGGCTTAGTTATATAGAAGCTTATGTTGTAGGTCAAAATGAAATTCAGGTTAAAATGATTTTAACCTAGTTTGACTCTCAGTTTCCTTTGTCTTCTTAAGAGGCAAAGGAATTTCATTTTAACCTGAATTTCATTTTGACCTACAACACATACTGTACCTGCCAACCCTCACATCTTAGGGGCAAGTCTCTTGGGCCTACGTGGACCAATTTCTTACCCCTAGTGGGAAAATTTGAGATAATATAATGCAGCTGTATTTGACACATTCTGGAAAAATGTGTAAACTTGAACCAAGAAAAGAAAAGTTCTTATAACACACTTACCCCAGCTTTCTGAGAGTGCTTTCCATTCAACAAAAACTTTGGATTTCCAGCAAAGAGGACAGTCTCACAAGTTATACCCAAATTTTTGAGTAAATTTTACTGGCAATTTGCATTCCAAAATTTTGATTTAACTCCCAGAATTTCCCGATTTTTTGGTTGAATGGTTCCCATTTTGGAAATTCATCAATAATTTCTGAACTTTCTTGAAACGTAACAACATACCCATTTGCACCTGTTTCAAAAGTTTCAAAATACTTGCCTAAAATAACGTTTTCCTTTGCAGCAACTGTGTACAAAGTATTTGCAAAATTTGGAGAACTAACAAGATGCAGGCTTATTAGAGATGTTGGTAAGTGGTTTGAGAATTACAAATAACATTAAACTGTGAATTCACACTGTTGATCAATCAATTGTGTACTAAGATTTCTTAAAGGTCCCCCAATTTAATATAGTTAAATGAAATTTAACATAGTTAACGACTAGGAGCTAGTCTGGTCAGTAGCATTTTTATAGGCAGTTGTTAGTGTCTTGGCCGTCTGTGAGTGTTTGGTTAGCGTTTGGTGCAGTCTGTAGCGTTCGATATAGTTCTTTGAAATTTTACATAGTTTATGACGAGGAGTGAGTCTGGTCAGTAGCGTTTTTGTAGGCATTTGTTAGTGCCTTGGCCATCTGTTAGCATTTGTTTTAGCATTTGGTGTGTTCTGTAGTGTTTGCAACAGTCTTATGGTTGGAGAGCCCCGGGGCTGACATTGTCCAGCGGTATTTTTGGGTAGTACATGTGTTGTCGTCCCATGTGCTTGCAGTGTGTTCATCGCTCTGTTAGTTTGGCGTTGTGGATTGAATTATAGTTAAGCAGTTCTTGGCGTTCCCTCCCTATCCCCCCCCCCTCTTTTCAGCATTTTTTTTTTCCACCAATGCCATCTGGCTTGAGTGTGACAGGTGCCTGTTGGGGGCTTGGCACGGGGGGCTCATGGCTTGGTTGCGGGTTGGGCAGGCCAGTTGGGTGTTCTAGTGCCTTGGGGATGTGACTGCGGTTGCAGCCCCCGGGCTTCATAGGCACCTTCCTTCCACTAGTGACTTGGGCGTTAATGAGTTAAATGAGTCAGTGGATAACAGGTCACTTAGCCTATAATAAAATAGCACTTTGGTTAGCCTAAATTAATAAAATAGCATTTTGGTTATCCTATCTAGCCTGTCAGTAAGCTTGCTGTGCTAATAGCTCTTTGGTTAACCTCAATAGTACTGCAAGTGTAGTTAGCCTGAATAGCACTCAGGTTAGCCAGCAAAATGTTTGTGTTAGCCTGTTTCCAGTTTCTGTTCACTCTCAGTAATGGTTATGGTGACACAAGACATACTTGGAAGACTGATAGACTTATTTGGCTCATAGATGCGTTGATATCAGATTTTTTATTGTGAGGTATTTGAGTCTAGTAAATAACCTACCTCACCTCAAGTTTCCTGTTGTGGAAGTGTCTAACCAGTAAGTCCAAAGTGGGGGTTGTTCTAGCACTGTCAGGAACTCCGCATTTTAATTTGTAGCACTTTGTGTTGTGTTTAACAAAGTTACTTACTACAAGATTAAGACTTTCAGAATATTAATAAGAGAAAGCCGTCATTATTAAGACCTTGATATTTTTTTAAAATTAGATATTGTCATCCAGGTCCTTTGCAATGGTCAGACTATTATGTCTTTGTGTTCACTTCACTTTTTTTTTTCTTTTTATGACATACATGATTGTCAAGTATTGATAATAAAATTTCAATTCAAAACTTAGAGGCTACATAAAGTCTTAACATAGGACTACACATGAAGTACATTGCATATCTTAACAAAATGTCTCTAATATTGAGGCCACTAGATATTACATAATTTTTCCCGTATTTTTTAGTGACAGGGTTTTCAAAAGGCTATGCATTTGTAGAATACAGAAGTGAGAGAGATGCTAATTTAGCATGGAGGGTAAGTGAAATTGCAAGAAAAATTTATTCACCAATTAGTGACTTAAAAACACAGAAAAGAGTCATTATGTATCTTGATAGTAAAAGTTTCATTATGCTGATTGCAACTTCAGAAATAAACAATTAAAATCTCTGCAAAACACAGTCCAAATGTGAAATCCCAAACTAAGCTTGACATTTTGACCATTGTTGCTGGTCATCTTCAGAATACATTTAAGGCTCACTTGCAGTTGTGTTAAGCTCATGTTGTTTGGAGCTACCAACTGCTACTACTATTTACAGGTTAGGTGATCCCTTTCAGGTTTCTATTTTTACTCTTTTTTTTTCAGGAACTGCACAATCAAGAGATAGATGGCTGCACTATATTAGTAGAGTATGAAGCAGCAAGATCTCTGAAGGGCTGGGTCCCAAGACGACTGGGTAAAGATTTTGACATGTTGTAGGTGTTGTAGTATAAAGCTAAAAGTGCTTTGGTCAACTTAGCCTTGTCTCTTTTAAAGAGTTACCCCTTATTATTATTGCATTATCAAGTTTTTACGTGACTTTAAAAAAAGTTTTTTCTCAAAAAGTTATTACACTACCCAACGCCACTCTTAAAATTCCACTTGAAAGGTTTTTGGCCTTTAAGGCCATTCTCCCTGTAGGAATACTTTTTCCAATTATCCTCTGTGGTTTGGGTATGAATATTTTCTGGAATTGCGCAGTAAAGGAAACCATCTACCAGGAGAAAATATCTTGATGCACCCCACCTTTCAAACTTAGCCCTTTTCTGAGCAAAAAACTAAATGTAAGACCTTTATTTTTTTCGTGAATGAAAAGGTTGAAAAGTATCAATACAATTTTGCCATACTGTAGGAGGTGGATTTGGAGGAAAAAAGGAGTCCGGACAACTGAGGTTTGGAGGAAGAGATCGTCCTTTTTGGAGACCAATGTAAGAGACATTTAAAATTCATCTATCATAAACAATCTTTATAGTGTACCCAGCTGCTCACAGTTTATGCCCATTATTACAAGTAGTTACCAGTCCAGCCATGGTTAATCCCTAACAGTTTCAAATTGGCAAATGTGTAAAAAAAAAAACACCAAGGAAAAAAAGTATGTTTTTACAAGACGCAATTAATTTTTGTACACTATGCATCTTGTGAATGAGGTTGTGCCTTCATCTCAGGGAGTGATCAGCAGTTAATTTCTCATTATAACATACATCCATAATAAAGCATGCAGCTTGCAAGAATTGAGAAAGTGATCCCTAGTGAGAAATCATCTTGTTTTAAACTAAGTCTCCCCTCTGGTGCTGCAAGAAAGGTTTGAAGACCAGCCTGTTTTTGCATTAGCGCTTTCTTCTCAATCTTGCTGAATTTTTATGTCAACTTATTCTTATTTTCATTTTTTTCTTAGCCCAAAACAGCAAGATGGAAACCAAAAGAAATATTTGCGAGGTTCGCGAGATCACGAAGGTGCCCGTGCAGCACGTGACAATCCCCGTGACACTTATCGTGAGCGGAAAAGTGACAACGCTCGCGAGAATTACGCTCATCGCGAGCGTGACCGTGAACGTGAACGTGATCGAGATGGATCTCGTGAAAAACGTGAACGCGACAGGGAAAATTCACGAAGCAGTTCTTACTACCGTGAACGCGAAGGCGATACTGATGGGAAAAGAAAACGTGAGCGTGACGGTGAGAGATCGCGTGATCGTGGCGGAGAACGTTACAAAGACCGTGATCGTTTTGGAGATGGTGAGATATCGCGCAGTAAAGACAGACATCGTCATCGAGAGAAAAGAAAAGATACTAAAAAGACTAGCGACGAGAGAAAAGAAGCCTCTGATCTCAAATATGAGCAAGAAGAAGGAGAAGTGGAGTAGTCTTTTTCACAGACTCAGGGCAAGGAAAAGGTCAGCTCAATCAGTGAAATGAATCTAAAGTCAAGACCTTACAGCCGCCCGGTGAGCGCGATTTCCGTGGAATGGCAACGCAGGACCACTGTCTTGCTCTCAAGACGAGTCTTCTCACAGTTTTGATTGGCATATAATCGTACGAGAATTATGTCGAGAAACAAAGACGAGCAAAATGGACAACTAGCGCGAAGTTCTTGGGCCGTTGGTAGCTACTGATGCAGTTTACAGTTAGTGAAAAAAAAAATTGTCCTCTCAGTCTTGACACCTGCCCAGTTGAGTGGAGTGGAGAGACTTAAGGATTTTTTCGTATGAACCCTGTCAACGAGAATTCACTGTCCATGTGGTGCTTGAGCTACATGACGTAACTCATGTGGCAGCTCTTCAAGAGCAAACCTGTACAGTAAGCATAGCAAACAATGTTAGCTTATGTCCGTACGTGTTTGCAACGAGGCCTTAAGTTGACTATTGTTACTTACAGCAAGAAGTATGTCTGAAGGAAACCAATAAAAATTCGTTTCTTGGTAATCAGCGCTTTTTTGGTCTGATTGAAATAGTGTAATAATAGTGTAATTTATCGTTTATGCCGTACACCAAGTGTGGCGAATATCTCATTATTAAGAATGTAAGGTGTTTGTACGTTTTGCATGTTCCTCGATAAATCGGGTGATTATGTGGGAGTTGCAATGTTGCGTGCGAAAACCTTTTTTTTTTCTAAAAAATTAAAAGGTACAAACAATTTAAGTTCACGACGCAGTTAAGAGGAAAAAATATATATACATAAAAAAACTTGCTTAATACGAAAATAAAATCAAGAAACTCGCCCGATATGGGACTTGAACCCATGACCCTCAGATTAAAAGTCTGATGCTCTACCGACTGAGCTAACCGGGCTTGTTGGTATCTGGTCGGTTAAAATAGAGCAACGCTTTGGTATGGTGTTTTGGCACCAAAAAGCCTAAATAATGGAGGAGATGAGTCGATTGTTGCTTTCTTTCAACAAAGAACGGGAAGTATACATACCGGTAATTCAACAAAGGCAAAAAGGTGATGGGAACGAGCTTGACCGGTAATAAAGAAAGAAGCTATACGGAATTTTGGCAATTTCACACCGCGGCATATATCTTGCGCCACCAGCTTTATTTTGGATATGAACCATGCACTGAGAATCCTACATAATAAGTTATCATTGGTAGAATTACATAGTCTAGTATTCAAAGTGAAGAATGATCAATGTGTGGCTTCATAGCTCAGTTGGTATAGAGCATCGCACCGGTATCGCGGAGGTCACGGGTTCGAATCCCGTTGAAGCCCTGATTTTTTCAGGCTTCTTCTTTCCAGTTGCTTNTAGAGCATCGCACCGGTATCGCGGAGGTCACGGGTTCGAATCCCGTTGAAGCCCTGATTTTTTCAGGCTTCTTCTTTCCAGTTGCTTAAATTGGAAGATTTACTGCGATGATCATTCTTCACTTTCATCTACAACCGCAGTTCATATACGAATTATTTCATACAAACTTCACATCATAGTCTAGTCTTGTGCATCAATCGATCGAAGGCACTGGGATAGAGAGTGGTTGAGGAGAACGCATTTGTCTTCAACAGGGGCGAGATTCTCAGTTGAGCGAAACTGTTGGCGTTGATGTTTAGAAATGTCAACAATATTAACACGAAAACTGCTTAAATTTCCTTCATCAAAGTTTTGTTTACAATTAATAGACAAGTTCCGTCATCTGCCATCGGCCGTACCAGTCAACAATGACAAATGTTCCAAACAGTCCTTTCATTGCCGATAACTTTCGCATAAATAGGCCATTTTGCTAATGCAAATATTTCCTAGTTCCATTCCCTTGTGGGGCCAAGAAGTGATCACTCGCCCAAAAATGGCCTCACTAATTCATTAAATGGATCAAATTTTGCCCCCACAGGGGACTGGAGCTAAATAAGCCGGGAAAGATAGAAGGGAGGCGAGGGGCTAATTTATAACCGGTTTGAGGCTAATCGACAAAAATGGACCAAATTTGCCGAGGTTAAATAAAGCAGTATATTTTTACATTTAATTTGCCACAATACAGGACTCGCTTGGAGCATCAACCATTATCTATATGGCACACCACGAGAACTTACACGGATTGATAAACTAACCAAAACCGAAACAAAAAGTCGAAAAACGAATGCTTAAAATTGAAAAAATAAAGGAGACCGCAGCAGGCATCAAAACCGAAAAACCGAAAATCCTACTATTTGAAGCGCAAAAACCGAAAAACCAACCAAACAAACGACCAAACCGTAAAATCGAAAACCCGCCTTGCAGTTTTGGTCCTTTGGTTTCGAGACTTCAGAACAAGTCTAAAAATACAATTGCTAACACTCGAAACCTCACCTTTCCAAATTCGCCACGGTGCTTAGTCAGTGCTTGTATCATCTCTCTAGTAAGTGTTTCAATTGCCTCTTGACGCAGCACAATAGCGGTTCACGTTAATAGAAAATATTAATTGCTTCTTGAGATATTATCAGTGCAAATTTAGCGCAGAGAGAGTTTTCGTGACTTAAGGGAGTCTTCTTTACGATATTAAAAAAAAAAAAAAAAACACAGGACAACAGACTTCAAATATTGCAAACTCTCTGATATTGTTTTTCTGTATCTTACTGAATGTCCAATATATGATGCCGAACCTGTGACTGTGCAGTAATTTAAATCGCGTAGCCTCGCTCCCAGGTTACTCAAGAACGAGGTTCCCAGATATGACCCATAAGTTCCAGGCTTTGGTCAAGTAAAAGCTAATAAACAACTGGACGGAAAGTTCCAAGTACTAGTGCGCACAATTTCCCATCGTGTAAAATGAACAGCAAGTTCCTGAATTATTATAATACTGACAATTCCGCTTACGTAACAACTATTTCGACAAATCAACAAATATTCTCCTTTTGTCATGGAAAAAAAATGTAAAAATATCACGCCCTGACGCGCATGCAAATGTGATATTACACTCAGCGAAATAACGAATGATCCTGTTAATTTGCTTCTAATTAAGTGCCTGCTACTTCCTCGTGGCCATTTACTTGAAAACGATATTTGTGGAGCAGCTGTTTATTGGTCTCTTGGGTGTTGAAAATACCATATAAGGCAAATTGTAAGTGCGCTTTTACGTCATAAGTGAGTATAATGTACCAAGTTTTGCGCAGCCGACAAAGTATTGAAAGATTTCGAAGGTCTGTATACCACTATACCTGGTGTAATGAGTCATGATAAATATTAGCTTGAGATCATCTTGATACAGAGATACCAGATGGTAAAGTTGGTTACCTCTGTATTATCACATCAGGGGTTAAGTAATTCACTCGATATTTGAAGTTTCGAAGACATCACAGCACGTGCCGTGTTTTCGTAATGCAGCACATTTTGATTTTTTATATACCTTTCCCAGGAACCGAACGCATTTTCATGCAAATAGGAGCATCATTCTGGACAATGTTTGTACAAGGCTAAACTATACTCAAGGAGATTTAATTCGCTTCCGAAGTGACATGAGTGATTCGTCGGCTTTGTTTGTTAGCGGGTTATTTTGAAGATCAAGAAATGTTCCCACAATTGTGTCACCGTCTGCTTACCTCATTGACGAGTAACGATACTGACAACTGACTCTTGGAAACTTCACTTATAAAATTATATTAAAGTTTCTTTGTTTAGCTTCAGGATATTTATAAAAAGTAACGCCCAATTATCGGGTTTTCTAAATTCTGCCTTTTGTGCAAATTCTTCCACAAAACAATCAAACCCACCATCGACTGTCAAACATAATTAATTTCTCGAGAAAGTATTTATATTCACTTTTTAAGAAGCTAATAAATATATCATGAGCCATTATTTTATTTCCTTCGGGGAAAATTTTAGTAAATTTCGTCCCCTTTAGACAAAAAACAAGACTGTGCTAATATATGTAAACAATTAATGTCTCCAGCAATGATGGTGAAGTTTCTAATCCAATAAGCCTTTGTCGCCAAAGAGTTTTAAATTTTCATAGAAGCTGTGGTAAACAATCGCACGCCAGCCAACCAGGCAGATATGACCAATCAGCGAGTGTTATAGCCTGCTCAAGTGCCGGCTTCAAATATTTATTTGCCCGTGTGACATCATCACATTTCACAGGCCACTGAGCATGAGCAAACGTCACTTGCGCTTCGGGAACGAAGAATCCGCGGCTTGTCGAAGCGCGATTCTTTGTAATATACTGCCTAGAGTTTTTGTTTTAGCTGCCTGGGAGGTTAGACAAATTTCTTAGGGGTCCACCAATAATGACAAAATTGCTGCGAAAGAGGGAAGAGGATTGCAGTAGAACTTAATCGACAGCAGCTTCCCGTTCCATGATTCCACCGGGTAACACATTGCCAAGGAACGTATGATATTCCGACAAAATGACGACTGTCTTACCGGCATGGAAGTTAGAACTCATAGAAAAGAAAAAGAGGAAGGAACAGGACCATCGACAGAAGGTCGAGCAAGAGAAATCCCGCAAAGTATCTATTCCAGAATGGAAGCGGTCGCTGTTAGAGAAGAGGAAAGAGGCTGCGAGCGATTCGCCGGAAACCAAGGAACACGGTATGTCTGTCAACAGTGTTTTCGGACCAAGAATTATACGGAAGACATCCCAATTAAATTTACCGGTCGCGAATTCAAGCCAGAAACCTGCAGTTAGAGGCGATTACGAAGAAAGCAAAACAAACATATTACAAGATGTTAACACGGTTCGCGGTGGTTCTTTGTCTTCGAGCCCGGCGGATGCGAATAGTTGTGTTACCAAAGCTGTCGAAATTCCGACAGAAGTTGAACACAAATCAAACAAACTAAGCACTCGAAAAGAGATCGAAGATAACCGCGAAAGTTCTCGGCAATCAGACGTCGCGGCGCTGAGAGAGGAGTCGAACGTAGCCTTGGATATTCAGCAGTCGGAGACAAAGCTTGACAACAAACATAGCGCAAAGACACCATCAGTTTTTAGCTATCGACGAATGTTTGAACAATCGGAAACAGAAAGCAAGGAAACTAGTGAGCCGTGCATCATTAAAAACACACAAAGTAAAACTCAGGTAGAAAATCACAAGAGCACTACAGAAAGTACATTGCGCGCTGTGAGGAGCGAATCAAATCCATCTTCTTCACAATTGCAAATTTCGAACAAAAGTTCTGCAGGCAAAGCGCATTCAATTCACTCTGAGAAATCAACACGTTCGCACCCGGATTCGAACCAGCAAAATGTATTCACTCCAAAACCTACGTTTGCTCCCAAACCGTACAAAAGTTTCGTCACTACACCCCCTTGGCTCAAAAATACCTCACCAAAAAATATCACTTTCCAGATTGGCCGCAATTCTGTCCAAGAAGACGTTGTGGTAGCTAATGTAAACACCGAGGTGCAGAGTGCTCCAAAGAATTTTGACACCTCGGAAAAGAAAAGTTATGTAATAGAATCTGGCGCCAAGGAAATCATAACAAAAACTATTGAAAGTGACGACAAACAGAAAGTCAGTTTTAGTAATGGCAATGATCCAATACCAAGTGGTGATGTTTTACAGAAAGAAGAATCTGTGAAAAAAACTACAGAAGAAACAGTTCTACCATCAGAAAAAACAGTACAGAAATATTCAGTTATTAAGGAGACAGACTCTAAAGAGGAGCAGTTGACCTCAAAGTCTGACAAAGGTAGTGAGAGTCTGAAGTATATTGTGATAGATGGTAGAAACCAAGAAGAACCAACTTCTACCATTGAGAAAAACAAAACTTCAGTTAGTGCAACTTCAGACAGTGTTTCTCAAGTACCTAATGAAAGTACACAGCATGAGGAAGGGGAGAACATTCCCCATCCAAGTTCTATTGAATCATTGCGGAGTAAGTTTGGTTCCATTGGGGGTTATCGAAGGTGGACCTCTTCTGAAGAAAACATTTTTCTCAAAGGGAGCCAGGCTGAGCAAAGTGATCAGGTCGTTGTTATACATAGATCTTCAGAGTTAAAGAGACCCCCTCCTCCTACAAAAAGATGGTCAGCAGACATTTTAAGTTTGACGTCGCACTCAACTGATAATAGTGAGACATCAAATTTGTCACCTACTAGTGAAACTAAGAACATTCCATCAACGGCCAACCAGCTCAAGAGACCCCCTCCTCCAGTGAAGAGATGGACAGCAGATGTTATAAATGTGATGCCACGACAAACTGATGACATGTCAGATTTGTCCCCAAGAAGTGACTCCGGTAAGAATTCAATGATCTCACCAAGCAACAGCCTTAGCAGAGGAAGGTCATCATCTCTGTGTGACATCAGAGAAGAGACAGGCCTAGACTACTTCCAGCACAAATCAAATGTTGCTCAGGGAATAGAACACCGCGTGAACAAGCTGATAAGAAAGATGTCTGTCTCAGAGACCCAGCTGAGTGTTGATGATGAAGAGTCAGATTCGACAAGTGATGATGACCCTCTTAGCGACCTAGACTTAAAACTAGCAGCAAACAAAGAGAAAGATGTGCCTGCACCACCGCAAGATGTCCAACCAGTGTTTGCGAGGAAGCATAGTGTTTCAAGTGAAATTGAACACAGGGTGACAGAACTGTTTCATCGGCAATTATCTCAGCAGTCTGATGCAGATGCGGATGAATCAGAAGGAGAAAAATCATCAGAAAGTGATGCAAATATTACTGTTGTCCAGGTAGTGGATGATGTTAAAGAGCCAAACCTGAAAACAGAGTCCTTGCCTGTGGTTAGTACCAAACTAGCAATTGACTTTGATTCTGCTCCTGTAAAAGACGATTGTAATGAGGAATCTGGTCACATTGTACCAGAGAGCAAGCCAGTAAGTGGGTCTGTTCATAAACTGTCAGCACTGTTCGGATCAAGTATCTTGAAACCCAAGAAGAAAGACAAAAGTGTGAATGAAGAAAAAACAAAAGACAAGGCCAGTAAGTCATCTAAGTTCCATTCTTCTGATAGATCAAACCAGAAGGGTTCATCTGGAGATGATGGTAAAAAGTCTACTCTGTTCAGCAAGTCTCAGAAGTCAGAGGGAAAATCTGCACAGAAGGACAAGCAACAGTCTAACACAAGCATTTTTCCTTGGCTGAGAAAAAACGACAAGAAGGAGAGCATAGGAGGAAATAAAACAAAAGAACTTCTGGACAAAAATCAAAAAAATAGTAGTTCAAGTTCTCCTAACGAAGGTACCGACACTGTGTCAATTGCTGCATTTGGCTTGCAACCAGTGCACAAGCCTGTTAAAGTGGAGCAAAGATTATTTGGCAATGTGAAGATAATAAGTAATGCTAGTCATGAGCAGACTCCACCAAAGGGAGTGTACCATAAAACCAAACCAAGTGTCCAGATTTTAGAGCCAGAAAAAGAGAAAATACCATCTAAGAAAGCAAATGAGTCCAAAACAGACAATAAAGGAACTGAATCTCAGGTCCCAGCCATTGTAACACAGTACTGGAATGGAAATGAGGAGAGTCGCAGTTCTGAAACAAGTGTGACTGAGTCAGTTCCAATAACATCAATCGATGAAGTGCCAGTATCTGCGATAGATATGCCTGAATCTGGTGACAATGATGTCACTGTTTCTGTGATTGATGTTCCTGCCTCTCCAGATAACCGCAGTGCAGGAAAGTTTGCATTTTTCAATGGCCACAAAGAAGACATACCAAATCCTGATGATGACAACGACGTGAGTGTGTCAGTTATTGACTTGCCGTCGCCAGGCAGCGAGAAGATAAGTGCCTTTCAAGATGGTTACTTAGAAGCTGATGAGTTATCAGATGGAAGTGATACCGATGAAGTTGAGGGAAGCTACAATTTTGCCACTGGAGAAATTACCCATGTAGTAAATGGTGACATTACTCAGGATGATGAGGACGATGAGGATGATGATGACGATGAAGATGAGGATGATGATTATGACGATGAGGATGTACCCATATCATACATAGGATCAGCCCCTCAATTTCCTGTCCCATACGTTGTCTTTGATTCAGAGCCTGTACAGTTGAAGTCATGTTTGAGCCCAAAGATAGAAAGAAAGAAGGTAAGATTCAAACCATGAAGTAAACTGACTGTGGGAAAACTGGTGTGCCGACCCTTTCACTCCCATATTTGAGTCAAACTTTGAGTCAGTTAATAGTGATGCGAAATTAAAAACTTCCAGTGAAACCTGAATACCTGAACATCCAGACAAAAACTATTAGGTAACATTGTTTTGCAAAATAGTATGTAATTGAATGGGCAACTCCTCAGTGGGGTGGCAGAAGTGGGAGTCATGTTTTGTACCCAGAAACATGATGAAAACAGAAAGGTAGTATTGTCTAGATTAAAATTAAATCGAAAACATTCTGTGAGGGTCATGTAGCCACCATTTTAAAGGAATTGATTTTTTTTATCCCAGGGTGTACTATTTTAGGTAGTCTTGCAGGCTTGTATGCAGTGAATAATTAATGTTAAGTTTTAAAATAATTCATAATATTAACAACAACTGGTTTGAACATTCCTTTGAATACAGATTAAGTTGTATAACATTTCGAAAACTAAAATTTGTGAAATGATACAAGACAAGTTGGGCTCAACTTGTATCAAGTTTAAGGATTTTGATTTCATGTTGCATTAATGACACTCTTATTAAAACACTTTCCTAATAAGTGAAATTATTTTTTATTGTTTAGGCTTTACATTGTGTAATGAAAGGTGTGCATTCTTGTAACAACTTTGAAAAGAGTAAACTGATGTGGAAATTTTATTGAGCTTAATTCAAGCATAAACACTATTCTGCAAGCTATTTTCATGGCATGTGGTAAATGGTTTTGAGAACCATATTCAAAATTCTTCAATTCAAATGTTGAGTACCTGCTTGTCTTCAAGTAATATAAAATTAATGTAGTACTTTTTTGAATACAAATTTGTTTTGTGCTAATATTATGAAAGTAATTGGCTATAGAGCAATATTAATATTACATTTTATATGGATGTTGAAAATATAAATCCAAGAGAACCTTTTAGCACTAAATATCACAGATCACTTCAAATGTTAGAAAAATTTTAATGTATACTGACAAGCAATATTTTACAATTGCACTGACTGTGAATCTGCCAACAATCCTATTTAATGGGAGGCTGAATGGCTGGTTATTAAATTTTACATTTACAGAGCCATTGTGCCGAACTCAAGAACTTTCTAATCATAGAACTTCTTTTGCAAATTCAACTCTTGGACTGAAACCTCGTGCATCAGATGACTGAGTGATTTGCCCTAACGACTTGGCAGTCCCATGATGATCATAGTCAAAATCTAAGAATACCTAGATCTGAAAGAAACGTCTAAATTAGGGTAGTTTCTGTGCTTACAGTGAAAGAATAGGGCGTAACTTGAGAAATCTACGTGTATTTAATATGAGGGTTCATGAACACTCAAGTGGACTATAGATCAAGTCATCTGGGTTCAAGGCCTGTCCAGGGTCATTGTGTGTTGTGTTCATTTCAAGACACTCTACTCTCACAGAGCCTATTTAATAAGTGGGTACTGGTGAATTGTAGGGAAACCTGTCAGTAACACTCTCCTCTGCAGAGGCTCCCTATGGGAAATTGAATATTGAGCGGGAAGGCACATGGGGGACAATGGGAAGAGGGAAAGGGCGGTTTAAAAAAAGTTTTCAAAGAAGAAAAAGATTGTCGAAAGGTTTGCATTGCAATTGTAAAATTGCTTCCCCAGTCAACCTTCAACGGTCAACCTTCTGTTGTTTTGCCAGGTCACCTCAATACCTTTCTCTTATCTTTCCCCTTCATGGCATTCCCCACGCACTTCCTTTTTTCCCACTCCCCAACCTCCAAACTACCAGCCCATGGTCAAAGCAGCACGAAATAGGCCTAGACGATGTCAGTAACAAAATGCTGGGGGTAGAACATTGAACTAGGTTTGTGAAGACATTACCTTTTACAGTCAGTCAACTTCCACAAAGTTACATAAAAATGTGAGAGGTACACTTACATTGTACCATTACTGCGAGAAAATGACAAGGTTGGCATTTTGTGTTGTGACTTATTCACTAATATACATCTATTCTTTGACCTTTAGATGAACAAAGGAAAAGTTTCTTTCAAGAGCTCACATACAGTCCATGACTATCCATCAGAGGAAACTGTAACAGCTGCTTATGATGAGTATCACAAAGACAACAATGTGCAACTGAAAACCTTGCAGAATTACCAACCAGCTGGCCTGGTCAATATGGAAAAGAATCTTGCACGTGTTGGTGGACATGAACAAAGGTCGATAACACCATCAGCGCCTGTTACCAATGGTGATAAAAACTCCCATGATATGCCTGCAAGTAAGAGTCTTCCGGAAATAAAGTATGCAGATGAGGGGCAGGGCTTTACAGATGCTACAGACAATGCAAGCGCTCTATTGTTTTAACTCTTCAGGATTATGGTAATACCGTGTTACTTTCAAAATATTTCCCTTGATTTAGAGAGAAAACAAAACAATGCTGTGACAAGGATTTCTGCCCAAAAAAGCTTTCAATTAACTAGTCAGGCCACACACTGTGTTTGCCTATTTGAATTCAATGAATTGATCTTAGGTTTCATATCAAACTTCGCAGCCGATTCAAAGTGGTAAATATCGGGAAAATAGTTGGCAGCCCAAATGGTGCTGTACTAGGACTGCCATTGTAGTAACAAGGCAGTTAAAACCAACCGTTTGTCTCTTATCAGCTTCTTCTTTACACAAAGGAACTCTTTGGTGCTCAGGTTCTTGTAGGTACTAGTAATTGTCTTCTAACTTTAACATTGATATAGCAAAATGTACTTTGTGAACAAGTATTTATGAAAACCAGCCTACAACATTGGAGTTGTAATAATTAAAAACATGTTTCTACAGTTCTAGGTTTTGTTCTTTAGCAAAACAGGGGGGGGGGGCATGCTGATTTTATGCATACATTTATGATTCATAGTAAGATACATAGTATTGTATATGCTACAGATGAAACGGAAAGAAAATTCAATAGCTAATTGTACAGTGGTGTTATTTTTCTTTTGCATTTAAACCAGATCAGGGATTATACATAGTTTTTGTGAAGAAGAGTGACTTTGTAATAATTTATTCCAAAGTAACTACAGTTGTACAATAATTATTATTGTGCCCTACTGACACTGCAGTTATTCTTTAATGCTGGTCATTGCGATAATCTTTTATCAGGACACAGGGTACTTTTATCCAGATGGAGTACACAGGCCTGTACGCACTTGACTTAAGACAGCTCAAATATTATACAATGCAACATTCTTTGCTGTCTCAAAAAGTGTGATCAGGTTTAATTATTATTTTGACTTTGACTTTAACTAGGACTTTTGACTTTAATGCTGGTCATTGTAATAATCTTAGTATTATCAGGATACATCAGTACTTTTATCAGCAAAGAGTACGTGAAGGCCTGTACCCACTTGTTATTCATGTACAGGACAACATTTTTTGCTGTCTGAATAAGGCAAGTGTGAACAGCTACATTAAGGTAACTTTTAAGCTTTTTCTTATTACTAGACCGTAGAGAACAATAGGTTTAATTATTATTTTGACTTGGAACTGCACTATACATTAAACTAATTGAATATGTTGGTGCAGAAAATTGAGCTCTTACAATAGTCACTAATATTATGTGTTTTGAGGACTTTGCAAAGGGCAGTTGATGCCAAGCTACTGGCGGCAGATATATTTTTTTCAATAGAGTTCTTACATAAATTACACCAAGAGGGTGACAATACCTTGCTTTTGAATCACAAAGAAATAGTGTACATTATTCAGGTACATGTATCACAAAGAATATCAAATTTAGTTCCATGTTCAAGAGCCATGTTAAGCCAGTGTGTTACATGTGCACTTATCATGTGGGTCGTCATAGCCTAAAACAAATGAAACAAAATATTTTTTTGGTGCAAAAACAAGTTTTACTTTTGAAGATCTGTTGTTTTGCCAGGTCACCAAATGATTTCACATCTCCTGAGACAAGTAATTACTTTAATTGATGTGAAGTGTACTGTTCAAGTTACACATTGGTTGAACATCATTGGCCACTTACACCTAGACGAATAATTAATCATCATAAACATTTCTGAGACCTTTAAGTTACCAACTAAATTTAACTCCTGAACATCCATTGTCTAAGGGAGACCATTTTTTGAGGAATTGCAACTAAATAAGGATGTTTGAAACTTTGAAGCACTTCACGCTTTGTTCTTCACTCGTAATATAATGGGTTGAAGAGATCTCTGGAGAAATGTTTAATTTTATGATACCATTGAGATGTCTGTATGATGTAATAATTACTAGGGGTAGGTAGCAATGAAAGAATTAATCAATAAGGTCGAAGGAAAGAAGTGACCTTAAGATGGTGTAAATAGTACAAATTCAAGTCAGTTCTCTGCATTTTTTTAACACTTGAAAGTGTGTGTGGTTTTAAGCTTTATTATTATTTTTGGATAAACTTTCAAGTGATGTATAGCTGTTCAAATGCTAATAAATGACTGTTATGACTTAAAGGAGTTGGTGTATTTTGGACAGTTTTGTTAAGTGATGATTTTCAATATTCTTGTCACCTTTTGTCTTGACATTGCACTGTCATTGTCAAGAGAAATGAGATAATAATCACTTATTTGAACTAAAGGAGCACAGGCCAGTTACTCAGAAGTCTGATCAGCATTCTGCCTTGTTTAACTTTGATGAAAGTGTTGCAGTCTTAAGGATTAGAGGAGTCTCATAGTTCATCAGTGTTGGTACTTTACAGTGGTATAATTGTTATCACATAAGGCAACTTGTAACTGCTACTATTGCTTACAAGAAGTCCTCTTCTATAGTGTTAACATGAACAAGGGGTGAAGAATCTGGGTCAAGTCACATTGCATATGCTGACCTTGATTTGGGCAAACAACTGACAGGGAGAAGTCTACTTGTGTATGCCAACCTAAAATTCACCTCTAAATATTAATATGATACCACACCCACTGACTAGGATGCTATTCTACTATACAGCATTTGCCTGCAAAGGAGTTGGGAAGTTTGTGTGTCGAGCCAAGATATTAGAAACTAGAGTCAACAGAGACTGTTGTGAAGTGTACATTTACCAATCTTTTTTAAAGAGTTTGTCTAACAAGCTTACAAGATCCATTTGATGTGCTGGTAATCAGCAGTGTGAGTAAGGTGTTTTGCCCAGGCATTAACACTGAGTCCAATGCACTTGAAATGAAAGCCATTTTTTCAGCCAATGACAGAACCTCTTTTGTGGGAAGACATTACCTATAAATATTCTACTATCAAAGCACGAGGGACTGATGATTGCTGCAAACTTCAAGACTTGGTCTCATGATGTGTTCACTACTCCCAGAATTATTACAAAAGAGCAAAATTTACCCAAGTGTAAGCTGTGAGAAAACTATGACAGCAGAATGGAGAATTTATACGTGGAAAGTGGCTTGTGGATCACCATAGCTCCTTGCCTTTTTGCTAAGGCTTGTAGATCCAGGCATTTGGTTAGTTGGGAAGTAGTGAAAAAAACAGAGAGGTAAAAATAATTGAGGTGTGCCTCTCCCTTTTTCTGTTGCTGTCTTTGCATTGCTCTCCAACTAACTGAAACCCTGGAACAGACTACAAGGCTTGCTATAATACAATGGGTCACCTTATTAGAATGCCTACTTTTTTGACACAGACAAACCAGTGAGTCATTTTAGCAGCTCCTGGTTGATACAGTCTGAATGTGGTCATTCATGTTGGCAATAGAAAGGGTTAATACCTCATAAATGATAAAAACACTTGGTGGTAGTCTTCTCTTTAACTGCACTTTGAGAGCAGTTAAAGAGTTGCAGTCTGTTTGCAGTTTGAGAAGCTCTCTTGACTCTCTTCTTCAAGTTGTGTCCTCTAGCCAAGACATTTAAGGCAAATCCGTAGGGTTAAAAACCACTGAAAGTTCTCAACATCATGGGTGTCACAAGAACTGCACACATGTACCATAACAGATATCACTGTGAAAGTGGTCGACTTGTCACCCTGGATGAGCTGACCGATTCCTGCGTGTTCATCCGATCAAAAGTTGCTCTTTTTCATTGTATACAGTGTAATAATACACTGTCATCTGCCTGCTTTAGGTAGTCTGTAAAAGCCATTGACAAATTGCAATTCTTGGTCTTTTACTTTGCGATCAAGGAACCTCCTCAAGTCATCCACACTGCACTGGCTTGATGAAGAATCTTGCATTGCAAACATGCGCAACATGGAGTGTATTCTGTCTAAAGGCAGACTCTCCAGATTGGTCAGCATACCAACGATGTATGACCAAAATACCTGATAAAAAAAATTGTATTGTACTTATAAGAAAGTTATTAAGGTGAAAACAAAAAAACTAGCACCTTGTAATCATCACAATATTGAGAAAGACACAGACTAGTGAGTTGAGTAGGTTTAGTATTTATGAGTAAGTGTGAGGGCCATACTGGTGTAATTTTGGCCTGAACAGCAAAGACTAAGCTTTCAGGTGTGCAATTTCAACTGAAAGCTGATTTAATGTTTACTCATGTCTTACATTTTCAAACAAAAAAAAGGATGAAAAGAAAGCTGGAAGAAAAAAGATAAACCAATCAATTATGTGCCAGGTTATTCTTTTAGGACAGTATCCCAGAAAACTAAAGAAAGCCTTTAAGAGTGCTTGTAGGGGATGATTTAGGGCCCTTCCAGTACTTGAAAAATAGTGACTACCTGTAGTAAAAGAGTGATCTGATTAGACGATTTTTATTGGTCCTCTGAACTAACTTGGTCATGTAATAATTACCTGTAATTCCTCTTCTCTTTGATCCTGTGAAGATGCCATTACAGATTCCACTTCAGCATCCATGACCACCTCTGAGAGGAGACAAAATTAATTTTATAAAAAAGTTATTGCAGTCCTTACACTCAATGTTTGTAACATAAAAACACTACTAGCTACTGTCAGTGGTTTCTTGCTTGTTTTACCAATAGGTTTGCTTACATGAAGGGAAGTTAAGAGAGATTTGAAATTCTGATATTACATGTACTAGATAGAATTTGTTTTGAAATTTAAGTTCTTGATTCTGTCATTAAGTATGAGAAGTAAAGAATTTTACACTTTGAAAGGAGACAAAATAAATGATCAATTAAGCCTTCTGAAATCAACCTTCTGATTCCATTATTTGGAGGCAGTGCTGATAAGGTCCAGGGTAACAAATGACAAAAAAAATCCTTCAGCTATGAACCCCTAGAAATATCATCTAAAGAATGGACTTGCTCATGTACAGCCAAATCATCATGACCATAAACATAAACATTACCTGGTATTCGCTGTTGTCCTTTTTGTTTCTCTACCACTGTAAAAGTGTCTGTAGACTCCTCTTTGAGCACCCCCTGACTTATCCAAAACCCCAAACGTCTTCTCAGTAAGCCAGGGGGAACATGCATTACACTGCTCAGCTCCTCTAGAGTCCAGCATTCTAAAAGAGTACAGCACAAGATTTTCAGCGAAAATTTTATCTGACGTTTGAAGGACACTTTTAATTAGTTAATTTTTAGCCTGATGACTTCAAAAAAGCTTGACATAGGGGGTGTTTTAATTTAAAGGGATAGCCATGTACAGAGCAATTCCATGAAACAAACCTTTTTCCTGGAAATGCATGATGGCAGTAGCCTGAGCAGGTGTGACAGACAGTGACAAGGTACGGTCAGCCAGTTCAACCTCAACCTCCACTAAACCCAGGTGAGGTTTCCATCGCAATGTACGCATACCTTTTAGGGCTTCAAATCCACAGGTATACTCATCCATTGCCCTGTGACAAGTAAACAGTCAGTTTAAAGTACTACAAGTTAATTAATTAAATGATATTGCACTTTCGACAAGTTTTTGGCAAGTTGACCAGCCACAGTTCAAAAAATACTAAATAAAAACACTGCTTCAGTGACCTATTTCGTGTGGTTAATAACTTCAATGCAAGTAGCTGTGGAGGAGTTTGTGTTAAATAATAGTTCTGTTTCTTAAGAGCTGTTCAAAGTTGACATTATCAAAAGCAATCTACCTTTGAACTTCTTCAGCAACCTTCAGTTTTTCCTCCCGAAATGCTGGCCAAAACACAGCTGATAAAACCATAGCTGTCAGTGGAATATCACTCTGAGACAGAAGATTCATAAGCTAATGTGACTGTAGGGATAGAAAATTTGGGGGGAGCAGGGATGGTGCAGTGGTGAGAGCGCTCGCCTCCCACCAGTGTGGCCCGGGTTTGATTCCTGGACCCAGCATCATATGTGGGTTGAGTTTGTTGTTGGTTCTCGTCCTTCTTCCAAGGATTTTTCTCCAGGTTCTCTGGTTTTCCTCCCTCCACAAAAAAATCAACTCTTCTAAATTCCAATTCGATTTGGAAACAGTGGATGAAGAGCCACTTCATGGAAATGCCACTACAAATTCCCATTATTAAATTACACTTTATATGATATTTGAAGTTAATTTTATAGTGTACTGTAAGAAATCATTGAAAAAAATAATGTCTGAAGTGCTCCTCTAGATTTCACATGTCCTAATATTCCTTGACTAAGTATGTATGTTCTGTTAGCAAGAATAAAATGTCACGGTGCTTTCCTTAAGACCCGGTACCTGCCAGAGGTCCAACAGCTATTCTGTTGTGAATCACGTTATTATTCACCACATATATGACATGTAATGTTGGCAGTTCTCAAAGATTACCCTCAAGAGGAAGTTATTAATTCTTGCTGCTATCTGATCAGTAGAGCACCAGGGCAGACTCCTGCTTCAAATCTTACTCGAAGAACTGTAAGGTGTTTGTACCTTTGTATTGTCACTCTTTGCGGCAGATGCCTGAATGTGAGAATTGATCCGTCTTGAGTCTGCAACGTCCTTCAACATTATCTCACAAAAGTGCAAGTGGGATTCTCCAAAACGGAGCTTCAAAAGCTCTAGATAGCGAAGCTGTGACAAGGGTGGAGGCAAAGAATGGTATGTATTGTTAATGAAAATCCTGTGATACTAAAAAATTTAATATTAGAAGCAAGGGGAAAGGACTCATTTTGATTGGCAAGTCACAAGATCAGCATTCCATCTGGTTTAAGGTACTGCATTCAAGAGTGTTTACCTCTTTTTCTGTGTCGTAATTGAAGGATGAAAGTATACGATCTGCTAACAGTGTTCGATATTCAGAAACAAACAGGTCTTTGCTGCCATAGATGTTCACAAGCATGCTGTTGAAGAATATACATAGCCAAGTAAGAACAAGCTCTAAGAAGAGTTTAATATATTTGTCCAGCCTAAGTGTACATCATATAATGAGCTGTTGGGTAAAGACAGTTAGACATATAATTTATCATTTATCATATAATTTATTGGTCAAATCCCATTTTCAATAACTCTTCATTGATTTCTTTGGCAAGAAATTTTCCTCACAGTACCTTTCTCTAAATAGAAGTGTAAATTAATGTACTGGCAAACAGGTAACCTGAAAAAGACTAAGCATCCAATCCATCTAGAGTGAAAACCAATACCCCTAGTGTCCTCATGTGAGTGAAACAAGAGATTCAGAAAAGTGCTGGACATAATTAGGTCACTATTATTATGTTGACTGTAAAGGCAATCAAATCTGTAACTAACCTAATGATGTCTGGTGCTTTTCTGCTACTTGATATCTTGTCTGGGAAAAATTAAATAAAGATCAAAGACATCAAAGTTTATTTCGTGATTCTGAGATCAACTTCACTATGCAATCACATTAACTTGATGAACATAAAGTAACAGAACAGGCATGACCTTTTATTGGCAGAATTTATACTACAGACAAATAAAGCAACGCTAAATTTATTTAGAAGACTATTTATCCATCTGAGAGGATTTAGTCCAGCTGTTAAGGGACAAAATTGTTCGTTTTTTGATAAAAGCATCAAACTTGGCAGGGTTACTAACCTCTATGAGACAAATATTTCCTGATATGGAGCCATGCCAAATTTGCTTCCAGAACCATGGAATGCGCATGTCAAAAATATGGCATACAAGGCCCTTACATGGAAACGAGGCTGATGCAAAATACCGATTATTTTGGCCTTGTGGGACTACTATGCCTAGTGTCTTGCTTTTTTTTAATACAATAACAAATTAACCAGTGCCTTTGAGTCTTAAATTATGTCACGTGATAGTCACGTGATCATTGTTTTCAATTACCAGCAAGGCAATNGGTAGGATACTTCACTTACTTGCTTACAATCTGTGTACTTATATATCTTTCTGTTTGACGATTAGCCTGGTACTTTGTAGCTTTGGAGTCTGGAGCTCAAGCCTCATCTCTATATGGACTAGAACGTTGGTCATCTTTTTTTTTTTTAGATCCCTGAGCTTGCATAAATGTTAAAAAGGACAAACAAACAAATGAATGCCCTCAACAAACAAAGAAATGCACTACCCACCCACTTTCTCACACAGACTCAAAAAATGTAACCAAACTCAATCATCAGAATACCTAGCAATTGTATATTATTTCCAGCATGCAAAGAAAGTCAAGTCTGATAACCCTTGTCTGATAGCCCTGCAGGGCTTGTGTATTTTGCTATCCTACTAGTGGATTCTGCCCTTTGCTTGCCCAACACGCAAGTGACAGTTAAGTACATTCAAATTACAGAAGCACAGTGTATTGTAACCAATTATGCTTGCAAGAAAATTTTGGAGGGACTAGTGAGAATTACTTTTAGGCCAGCACATCATAGTTTATACAGCTCACCTAAAGAGAAAGGTGACAAAAATCATTAATCCTGGGATTAAATGCATGGATTGTTTGATTCAATACATGTAGCTATTGCTACAGCTGCGATGGAGATGCTTGGAGGAAAAGAAGCTCTGGCTTCCAGCCGTACAGATCAAATCATGGCTGATGCTGCGTATGTTGTAATGACACGGGACAGTCGGGCCAGGACAGGGGAATTTCTTATTGATGAGGATGTCCTCAAGGAAGTAGGAGTGACTGACTTTGAGCAGTATTCTTGTGTCCCAGGTATGCTTGACTCAGCGATGGGGTCTGAGCTGGGCAGAAATGAGCTGGGCAGAAATGAAGGGAGGTGGAGTGGTGTAAGAGGATAGTCATAATGGGTAACTGATCTGGACGTCCCAAGCCTTTTTACATCTTTTTTTTGAAGGGGGGGGGGGGGGGGGGGGGGGGGTGCTAATTCGAGGATTTACAGTACACTATCTTTTGAAAACCCTGTTCTGACAAAACTCAGCATTGTACAAAATAATAAGTTCTAAAGTAACATGCAATGATACTTCATGCAGCTTATAACTGCCAATAAAATTTTTATTTGCTGTCACCTCTGCAAGTTCTGTGCTGTTTTCATCTGTCAAACTTGTCACAATACAGCGTACAGTATCCTCACGTGTTCTAACAAACATAAAATGATCAAAATAGTGGTTACATGAAGATAGAAATGTCTTCCTTTCACTTGTAACAACTACTGTGTAATAAAATTAACTTTACAAATTAACCTGCACACTGCACCATTAACAAAGTCTACAGAGAGCTATCATCTGGACAATTAAATCATTTAATATCCTTTGTTCTTGTATAGTTGTACAACCTTCGTCTTTACCTTGTTCACTGGGAAATTAAGTAAGCACAACAATATCAAAAAGCGATTGAAGTTACTTTACAGTCAAAATAATTTTGATAATGATGACAACAGGGCACACAATCATATGTCTTTATTACCTGAGATATTGTCTCACAGGTGTACAAACATTTTCTAGAATGACTCCAGCTGGATCCAGAACATGAAGAGCTCTAATGGCCGAGACATACTGAGTCAGGATATCAGATGTATTTGCACCAGGATGCAGGAGACGCCTCTCAAATCTATATTAAATAGTAATTATGTTACATTGACATTAACTTATTGTTGCACCACCCTCTACCTGTAAGTCTTAGTTTATACTCCAGGTGAAGTTTAACCTTCCCTTAATGAAACTAACTCATTCATGAAAAAAGATATTTTACAGCAGATAGTTGAAATATGTTTATGGAAATATTATCATTGAATTTATGGAGCTATTAATAAAAGTGAACTACTTACGCTGATCGCAGAGACACTACAAGCTCTTTTCTTTGGTCTGTGACTTCTAAACACTCCTAGAATGACAGAGAGTATAAATGAACTACAATATAACAAAAACAACAGTATCTATGCCAATTACTGTCCTATGGACTCAGTCATGTCAATGTTATCTTTACACCACTCACACATTGAGCATGCAAAAATAATAGTACGACAGAAATATTGGATGTGCTTCAAAACTTGCAGGTATTGATCCTATGTCCTTTAGTTAGAACTGCAGATAATTTAGGGAAATATATTTTGAGTCACAGAGGGTTTGTGGGATTCTTTATTAAAGTTACATAAACTTAAGGTAAAGTCTTCATCGGGCCAAGTGGTGAGTGCTACCAGAGCTTATCCTGTTTCTATAACATTCAATGACTAGGGACTTGGAGAGGCACTGTGAGAGTAAAGTGACTGCCCAAGAATACAATGTAATAACCCCAACCAGGCCTCAAACCCAGATGGCTCTATCCTGTGCACTAACCATTAGGCCACGGGGCCTCCCACATTTTAATTTACATAAATATACCTAGAAAAATGAATCAGTCATGAAGCTTAGAAACAGGAATGAACAACTGTAAACAAAAAAACAGCCCAGAGAGTAGAGCTCTGGCACTAACTTTGTTTTAAAAAATAATGCCAAACAACATACAGGTTTTGTAATTACAAAGAGTTAGCTAAACCTTCTTCTAAAGTTCTTTTCCACATGTTCGAGAAACATGTAGATAGTCACTGTGCCTCTATACAAGCACATTGTTTTCATGAAAACATGAAGTCTTCTACTTAACGATTAGATTATGAGCTCAAGATTTCTATGAGGTGATAGTTGATGAGACCGAAGGGCAAATCAGCCATTGCCTCATAGAAATAAAGGACGAATAATGTATTAATTATTTTTAATTAGTAGAATTCTGACTGAAATTTCCTTCAAATAACAATTCCAATTATTTCTGGTCTTAGCATTAACTTCATGCTTCAGAGAATTCGTGAGGACTGAATTAATTGTTAATTTGACATTTGCAGTTGTGTACGTGTGCTTACCAGTTTCTTTTAAAAGGTCTGAGCTTTTTTAATTCAAGAAACCATAAATGCCCTCCTTTTCACCTCCTCAAGATTTTTGTTCATTCATTTGTTTCTAAATGTTCTTTCAAAACTTCGATGAAACAAGGAAACGTTGCAATTTCGTCAACCACCGAAGCCACTACACACTAATGGCTGATAGTGTGCAATGGCTCAGCCAATCAGATTACAGCATTTGTGTTAGTATACAAGTAGAATTCTACTAGTCACCTTTAGATCTTGGATAGCAGGAAGAGAGTCTGGATATTCCACTATTATGGTGAACAACTCACTGATTCTGTGCATTAAAGAAGGAAGCCAAATTATATTTCACAATGTTCATTTTCTTTGGAAAGAAAATTATTATTATAATTTAAAAGTGTACCAGAATTCAATAATTTGAACAAATTACATGCAGAGTGGTCATTAAGGGCACTAACACTTATAATGGCCACTGACTTA